CCAAGCACCAAGCCACGCTCTGTTCTGTACATTATGTTTATGTTATCTACGGGCACAGGACATTTTATAGTAGTCCAACGTGTCCTCTGGGTCCTTTATGTCTTTTGTTTGTCACTGGGGATGTGGCGGTGCATTCAGGCCGACAGACAGACAGACAGACAAAGGCACACACGCACATGCACACACAGTCAGACAGGCATATTATCCGGGTCTTACTGGGTCTGAAAGGATGGTACACCGGGCTAGAGATCCGTCTCTTCCAGGTGAGATGGGACCGGCTCAGGCTCACATCGCACGGGGTGTTTCTGACGCGGAGCTCGGACAGCAACACCAGCCTGCCCGTGCTCTCCATCTGCATCTGTCCGGCCGTCTGAGAAGGAAGCAGCAGACGGTGAACGGTTACCTCAGCCCGGTCATGTTCGCTCCGAGTGTACGGACAGGTTCAGAACCCCGAAAACAACGTCTTTTCAAACAGGAGCTGTGTCAGTGAACCTTGTCGGAGTAGCGGATCTCAGCTCGGCTGCTTTTTCTGACAGATAGCGGTTCCCTACCGAAAGTAGGTGGAGCCTGGTGGTGCGTTCAGGTGCTAACCTAAGTGTTGCAAATCAGGACTGCAATTTTAAACAGACCCTTTGCTGAAATATTAATAACTTTGTTAATAGACAGTGCTGGAAAGATTTTATTCTAAAATTCCCCAAAATTAAGATTTCACACAGCAACTGAAAGTATCAGAACTTTATATCGACAAACGTCTGTCACGTCCTCACGTCGCCCGACTGAAGAACGTGATGACGTGACACGGGGGGACAATTCTCAGCTGCAAGCGGAACCTTTTCTGCTCAAAGAAAGATTTTTTAGAAATGTGAAATAAACTATGTAGAAAATGTTCATCAGGGTGGGATTGTTTCTGACTGTTGGGTAACAGCAGAGTTTCTGTTTCTCAGTTTCTGCATGAGATTATCTGGTTCATTTGATGTCATGTCAATCATATCCAATGAGAGTTGTATATCTCATAGGTTCATTGTGTGTTTAGTTGTGGTCTGTCCGCCAGTGTGACAGAACAATGACCAGATATGCCAAATTACAAAACGAGACACAAAACAACTACAAAGAAATGCAAAACAACTAAAAAAAGACACAAAAGAAGTTAAAAAAAGGTGCTAAGTGATCACAAAGAGAAAACAAGTACAAATTACCACTAAATAGCTAAACACAGACTCAAAACAATGACAAATGGTCAAACAAACTACCACAAGAAGACACAAATCATGTGTTGGAGAGGTAAGGGCCATTTTCTGGGATGTTTTGCATGATTTGACCAGTAGCTCCAGGTTTTCCAGGATGTGTCTTGTGTTTCCCTGTTCTTCCTCCAGTTCATTTCAAACCAGGAGACTTTATTCAGGGACAGCAGGGGGAGCTGCTGCTGCACACACCACTCTCTGTGTGTGTGGCGAACCTGCACTCTGTTTCAGATTTTATTCATTTTTCTCTGACATCAAGAGTTTAATTGGAATCAACAAAAAGTCAAACAAATTCTGCATAATCAGTTTCAACCTTCAGTAGAATCTAACCAAACATCTTAACATGGTCACACTGGTTTTAAACCTGCACACCAGTAGAAGGTCTTCATTTTCTCCCAGGCTCATCTTTGTTTTCTTTTGTGTCCGATTTAATTAACTCCAACATGTCAGTGTCCTCACAAATCAAAGCAGGGAAAACACTGAATAAAGGTTTAACAAGGTTTCAGCATAAAAGTAGCTGAACATGTGGAAAAACTACATCTGACACAAAATATTCTTCTAAGTGGAGTATTTTTATATCTTTATTGTTCGTAGGGGGTTTCAGGAAATTACAACTGATTTTCCAGAATTTGCTGCATTTATATTTACTTTGTATTTACTTTACTTAGTATTTGCAGTGATGCTGCAGATATGAATTAGTGTTGATGAATAGATTCTTCTTGCTGAATGTGAGAAAAGTAGCTTCTGCTGTCAGAATAATGAAACCACATTAGGCACAAAAACCAAGGAACTGTATGTAATCCTCAGAGGAATAAAGCATTTACAGGAGGGGGAAACTTTGAATGGCCAAGGACAATATAGTGCATGTGACTAACTTGAAATAACACCAAAATTTGAATTGGATATATTTGGTCAATATTATTTTTATTTAGCACACTGTATAGGTTTCTGTGTTGGACTGTTGAGTTTATATAGTAATACAGTGGATAAATAATAAATAAATACATATAATAAATTGTTATAGAGACAGAAGTCCATTGTCAGAGTGAAGAGTGTTAAAGACTTTTATTTTGAAGACTTTGTTGCCGAGTGTGACCTCTCAGTTAGAGGTTGCCCAGGCACCAGTAGTCCTCTCCTCCCCTGAGAGACGCAAGCAGAGACGGATGAGTCCGACAGGAAGCTCCTCTCTGGCCCGTGATGGATGTTGCTGCCTCCGACACCCAGGCCGTGGCAAGGGAACGAGGCGTCTCGATGGCGAGGAGGAGGAGGGTGTAGGTCAGGGTTTTATATAGAACACAGTCCTCCCTGTGATGCATGATGAAACAGGTTCTCCAGCTGTGTCCACTCAGGTGATGTCATCTAAAATGGAAGATGGTGGTGCAGAGCAGCTGTCCCTGCGCAGCACAACATACTATCGACTGATCGATCTGAGAAAAACTCCACCCAAACTCCTGCTGCCAATTTGACTCTGACTCTGGCAGTGGACCACTCAGACTGAAGGTCAACAGTCATCTGTCCCAGCACAGAGAGGGTAAATCTCATTTTATTTATTCAATTGTTCCTCGCTCCTTGCTGCACCCAGTAGTAGCTCCGATCCACCATCTTGAAAGACGTCCCAAAACTTTTATTCCTGCTCTGAGGAGCGTTGAGGCTGCTGGAGGAGACATCTGTGAGAATAAAAGAGCGCATCCTTTATGGACGTTTTTTTATGGGCCAACACGCCCCTTTATCAGAAATCACTTGGTGATTGGACACTTCAGATGACGGATCAGAGGAAAGGACGTCTCATGTCTGTGTAAAGTTGTTTCCTGGGCAGCTGAGAGACACCATGTCCTGTCCCACTGACAAACTGTGTGTAAAATCTTTAATAACCTTTAGTCTTGAGCCTGTCCCTGATGGCGTATGTTTGATTCAGTGTGACTATAGGAGTTAACACCAGATGGCGAGGATGGAGCACTGATGTGATTATGGGATGGATGTTTAAGGTCAGAGGTCAAATAGGAAGTGTACTGCACAACCATGCTCACTTGTCTCCCTCTGACCTCTGACCTCACCTGTCTGACCAGCTACTGTACCTCCACCACACACCGCACAAATTATAAAAATAGATAAACAAACAAAAGTCTGTGTGTCCTGGCTGAAACCTGTCTGGTTCACCTAACACTACAACTAACACTGATTCCATCTGATCTTCTCGGAGTCTTCGCTGTCAGCCTGAAGACGATCTGACAGAGCTGATCTCAGTCTGCTGCAGAGGGATTGTGGGTAAACGTTGGGCTGGTCTGTGAGAGAGCTGCTGTCTGTGATCATGGTCTGAAAATGTATCGATGTTCAGAGGACACAGAGTGACTTGTCTGGCTGTTAGGAGTGTTTTTCTCTTGTTGGTCTAATGCACTATCTATCATAAAAGTGCACACACAGACAAACTGTGTTGGTGTTTCACTACCTTCAGCAGAGCGACTACTCTCACTGTGAAACTTAGATTTCTTTAGGCAATTCCTTAAACTTTAGTCATTTTTCATTCTGCAGGCTGAGCTCTCCTCTGTGTGTGTGCAAGAATGAAATGAAACACAGATGAACATTGAATTATATAATGAAACATGCTCTAATTGAGGGTGTAGCTCATTACGCCACATTAGTCTGATATAAATAGTGAGCTATTAGCACTAATTTATTAGAAATCTGCCTTTTATTAAATAGCTTGAGCCCTCGTTACCAACTGTGGCTCTACAGTCCCAAAACTCCTGAGAGACGCCTGTTCACCTGTCAGCTGTGTTGTTTTAGACACTTCTAGCATCGCTAAAAACCTTTTATAGTGAAAGATCCTGAAAATTAAAATATATGTAGAAAAACATGCAGCTTAAAGTCAATTCACACGTGTGGATGTCAGGGCCGCTCGGCGGCCGCTGCCTCTCCTCCGCCTTTCTCTCCTCTGCTCTCTCTATCCTGTGGGCTCTGCACCTCAGCTGTGTTGCATTCCAGTAATTAGCGACTGGTTTGTTGAGGCGCACAGCTGGGGTGCATCCCGAGGATTGCCTGCTCCTTACTTATACCTCTGGCAGACGCTCCGTCGGGGCCGGAACATTAGCTATGTACTGCGCGCTACACTACCCTATGGAATGCTACGCTGACAGGCTTGACTCTATCACACTACATATGCGCTACACTACCCTATATGCAGACCGTACGTTCCCATGTTATGTTCCTTTGATACTCTGTGTTCTTTTTATTTACCTGTTACCATCATGTTTTTCCCCCTAGCACCTGGGTCTGCAAACTTGAGTCCAACCTCAGTCCTCTCTCACCCTCCTGGTGAGGGGGGCTACAAAAACAGTGGAACATGATGGGTGGTGTGATGAAGAGTTCATGTAACTGGGCTGTGACAGGGCTTCACACAAATAAGGTTGGGAACCACTGGTTTAGAGGGTTAGGCCAGATACACACAAACATTTTACCTGTGTGAAAAAACGCAGCCCTTCTGACTTGTTTAAATGGCAGAAGTGATCGTCACAACAAAACATAAAGCAGCAGCTGCTGTGTTAACTTCCCAGAGTTGAACAAGCTTGTCTGTATAACAAACTACTCTGCTGTGATTTGGCATCTAAAAACAAATAAATCTGCTCATCCAACTGGACTTCCTGCATCGTATTTCATCATCCCGCTGGTAGATGAAACAACACATCTTCACCAACGCTGCCCCTTGTGTCGTATTAAAGTGTAAATGTATGTATGTGTGAGTCTGGCCTTAACTCTCATCAAGAAACACCAGAGGCTATTTGTCTTTGCTTTGTTGTAGCTGTTGTGCTACAGACAAAATAACAGGAGACTGATCTGTTTAAATCTGTGTTATCACGTTGGAAATGTGTGGAAACTATATTTTCAGCGTTCATTAAAGGACCTTCACATGAGTTAACCCTCCACACAGTTCCTGTTGGTGAAGATGATGTTTCATGTTGTGTTTCTGCAGTTTGAGGTCGAAGCTTTGTCTCAGTTGTTGTAAAGTGTCTGACAGCGGATGGACAACAGACATCCACACACTCCAGTTTTTCATTTCTCCAGGTCTGTTTTTTTCCCCATGGTCCTCTCTGGTCAAGAGCGCCTCATCTGTCATGAGAACCACCGGCATCCACCTACGTCAGAACAATAATATCCCTGCCAGGTGTGATGGACAGCGCCAGCATGTTCGGGCACAGGCTGAAGCAGGGGAGACGAACGTTGACATTTCTATCAGACATCTCTTCATGGTGGCGTCTGAGCTGTATGCTCCACCTGCAATAAAACACCACATGCTTTTCAAGCACATTTCTTCAAGGCCTGGGCTATAGTTGCGGCTCACCATCACTGGCCACACTAGAAACGTTTATTTGATCGAAGACTTTGTTCTCCACTTTAAAATGAATTGTCTCCAGCTCGGAGTGTGGCAGCTGAGGGGAGCAAACAACTCAGGCTGGTCGCCCCGATGAAGGACAGGAAGTCAACACATCTCAAAGGTAAACCACACTGGAGAAGTGCTTTAAATCTGATCTGCACGTTGCTCTGTGAGTTCTCAAAGTTAGA